AATACAAAGAGTCCTAATTATAAAACGTAAAGCTAGTTAATTACTAAACTTGTTTTGTAACCGTTTAATGTGATATTTCTTAAAGAATTAATAAAAATTTTAATTTGTAATAATGACAAAAAATACTACTTTGTGGATCTCCTTACTTCCGAGTGCAGCTATGCAGCCGTTGTGGCTGAGGTATTCTGTATTTTTTTTTTTACCCCTTGTCCTGAAAAATCTCCCTTTGAAGGGGTATCTAGCCCTTCCCCTTAGCTCTACGCCTTCAAGCTAAAGAGAATTGGGTAAGGGGAAGGGCTAATGGCTAGAATTATGATTGTGCCTTAATAAAGCTAAAGAAAACGTGACACTAAAAAAGACTTGAGACTTTAAATAAAATAAATATAAAAATCACTCAAATTATAATTAATAAATCCAGGTCAGATTAGGCATGCTCTATAATTTATATATAAATATACCCTTTTTACTTGCTTTACTCTAAAACAAAGACAAGGGCCCTATCATACACCCGCGCAAGGTGCGATGCAATTGCAATTGTTGTTTGCTAGTTTCAGTTTTTGATGTCTGTGATGATGATGTATTTTTTATTTAGTGCCATGTCAGCAACCAAGGCTATCTTCATGGCAAGAATCTTTCAACAATAAATATACAATTTAAAAATTAACAAACAAAATAAAAACATAAATTAAATAAGATTTTTTGTGTTAATACATGATAAAAATTCTAAAATCTTTTCTGGTTTCACTTTGTCAAAAATGTCCTCTTAAATTTCATAAAAAGTCCTTCTGGAACCAGTAAAAGCAGGACAGTCCAGTAAAATGTGTTTTACAGTAAGAGGAGTTTTGCAGCACAAACACTGAGTAGGGTTTGTGCAAAATGGTTGAGCAAAAAACCATGTGTAATTCTCGTATGCCCAATACGACATCTGGTAAAAACTACTTGATCAAATCGATTCTTAAAATGTCTTAGAATTCTGTGTTGGATTTCATGTAGTTTATTGTTTTCTAATGCATCCCATTCCTTTTGCCACTTGTTTATAATGTAAGCGTTGATAAAAGGTTTCATCTCTGACGGAGGAATTTGGCATTTGTTCACTACTTGCTTCAAAGCATCTTTTTTGATGTCTGTGAACTTTCATGAGTATGCCCATCATGCCAAACTATTTCTCAAACATGAAGGATTTTGCATTGCATTATCACTTGCTGTCTGTACAAATGGTGAAAGAGCTCTTGCTGTGTTTGCTGTGCCCCCATTACCCATAATGCCAATGAGGTTATTTGAACGGTGTAGTGAACAAACCTTCCCTCGACACACACATTACCACACACACACACATCAGCATAATCACTCACACTGAAACACAATTACTGTGAATGCATTATTCTACAATAAAAACATATTACCCTTTGACAGCTTTATACAGTTGACTAAACTATTAGCCCTCCAGTGAAATTAATTCAATTATTGAACAAAATAATATGCTAAAAATAATATATTGAGCAGGCTACTAATATTAGCAGCTTTTAATCCTTTTTAATTCCAAAAAAAAAACAATAAATCTCAAGACTTAAGTTTTATTAGTCTTACTGAATCATGACATCATAGGACATAAGATTTAAGACTTGAGAATAATAAAACTGATGCGATTTAAGACTAAAAGTCTTAAGAAATAAGACCTAATACTCAATAAGACTTGAGACTAATAAAACTTAAGACTTAATAAGACTAAAGACTTAATACTCAATAAGACTTAAGACTATTAAGACTTTAGCATAATAAAACTTAAAATGTAAGACTTAACACTTAATAGACTTATGACTTAATACTCAAGAATTAATAGGTCTAAAACAACTATCACGACTTAAAACTAAGACTTAAAACTTAATACTCAATAACACTTCAGGGGGCTGTTCCAGAAAGCAGGTTATGTGACATACCCGGGTAAGTTTGAGAGTAAGTAGGTGGATAACCTCAGCTTTGGTTCCAAAATCGGAGGTAACTTCTGGGTATGTTAAGTAGCCATAGCAACTTACTCTCTGAAGATAACCTGCTCCGGAGCAGGTTATCTTCAGAGAGTAAGTTGCTATGTTCCAGAGTTTGTCTGTTTCAGAGAGTTTACTGAGCATTGCATGCTCTTTTGATGAGAATATTTATGGATGTGGAGACACAGATACAAGTTTTTTCATTGTGAGAGGGTTATAAGTGCAGTTTTTTTTTCATTACCAAATTTATAATGTATATTTTCAAAAGAATCGTTAATGTATTTAACAAACCTTTTGAAATCAAATGTGACAAACCGCGGGTCTGCGCCTACCATAGAAAACATTCAGTGCAGCTCTTTGTATTCGCGTCAGGGCATTTTAGGCAACAATATGGCAATATAGCGTGTAGGACCATCTATACTGTACAGTATGCCTGGCACTGAACTGTTTTATACATAAATCACTTCGTATCATTACACAGCTGACTCAGAGCATGGCAATAGTGTAGTGGACAGTGCGTCATTCATGAACAACATAGCACACAGTGGAGTGAGTTCAAATCTTACTTACAGATCTTGTGTTTTTTCTCTCCTTCTGCACCCTCACATTTTTCTGTATAATATTATAAGAAGTGGCAGCTTTGTCTTTTGTAGGAAAATATATCTATAATTTAAGATGTATGACGTCGTTCATATGTATACATTCACGCACACACCTACATTTTTTAATATAATTTTTTTTCAGGGTTTCCAAATGCTTGTGTGCATTAATTGCAGCTGGTTTTAAAGCTCCATCGGTCACTAAAGGACACTGATAATATGAAATTTGTCCAAAGTATAAGTGTGCAGGTACAACTTAATTTTCTGTCCTTAATCTTTTGGTGTTTTAACTATTAAACTCATTACTGCTTCCACTTACCAGCTCATATGTGATGACAACACATCATCACTATATGTTGAGGCTAAATGGCTGATTTTCAGCAAGTAATGATTCAAGTGTATAATACAAATATAGTAAAAAAAAAAAACTATAAAGCAAATGTTGCTTTACACAATGTTTATTTTTATTATATTTCTATTATACAATATATCATTACTGGGCACTACATTGTTACTTGCTGGAGGACAAAAGATACCCTTTTCTGCCTTATACGATGACACCCTACCTGCAGCCTGACCCAGAGGAAATCTCAGTGACCCAAGCAGACAGAAGAGATGGAAGAGTGCTACGAAATATAATTTGTCAAAAAACTATGTTTAATCAAATAGTTTGATCTGTTGATTTCTTCATTTCCTGAAATAAAATGAATGATTTTGTACACTGCTTTATACACACACCTTTCAACGTGTAACATATTTTTCATATAGGCATTTCTCACCTTAAGGTGATGCTCATGTGACTTTATTTATCTTTGAAGATGGACCTTATACAGCTACTTTAGAATTTAAATATATATACAGTATAAAAGATTTTGTGATCCAAGAGTAATATTCAAGTATCGAAAAGTGCAGACAGATTCTTAAACTGCTTCTTAGTTGAGGCAGAAGGAACTTCGTCTGCATGCAAATTAAAAAGCATAAATAGAATCTAAAGCTACCTGACAACAATCACTTACAACAGTGACAGATTGTGTGGTTTAAGTCAAAAACTCAACCACTGATAAGCCTTTATTATAGGACACAGCAGTTAGTATACAGGCCTCTTTCTATTAGCTGCATGACAGAAATAATATTCTAGAGTGTTAAATACAGAGCTCCAGTAATTAAATTTGACCTTTTATGATAATGTTTCTGTGTTTAATGACTTTGGACAGAGTTCTAGCTCCAGAAAGATTACAATTTCTATAAGCCTTATTAGTCAATACACATATTGTGGCCTTAAGAAATTATTGGCAAGAAAAATAAATGCATGAATGGTTACACAACATACTCAAAAAGGATGTTAAAGAGTAGTTTAATTTATCATTACAATAAAATGGAGGGTGGCATGTGTAATTTAGTGAACTAACAAACTTTCTTATTTATTTTTTTTCTTTTCTTATCTATTTCTTATTCTATATTTCTTTCCTTCGTTGAAGCAGATGTGTAATCTCTGAGATTAAAACCTCCAGTTTCGCCTCTGTAAAGTGCGTTGCCCTTTTTTTCTCACCGTGACTTTCTATGGTGACTCGTGAATTCGGCGATCTACTGAAAATGCCTTCAGGTGTGTGCCGTGCACGCGCATTAACCCGCGGTTATCTTCAGGAGGTTGATCTAACTAACTCTTAACACCTGTTTTGGAACCAACATAGTCACGGTAAGCAGGTTTTGGGTAATTCAACCGAGAGTTTAGGGTTTAGCAGATGGTAAGTTAACCCAGCTTTCTGGAATACCCCCCAGTTCATCGCAGCTGTTGTCACACTGCAGGAAAGTGTCTGAAATCTTGATTCTGCCAGAACCTCATCTGAGGAAAAATCTGATCGCAACGGGCACTAAGCGGCTGTCTGTGAACAAGTCAAACCAACAATCAAAAACCAAAAACCTAGCGCTTTGAGTTTGAGAAAAGCGCAATGTAAATAAAATGTATTATTATTATTATTAATATTAGTATTATTAATCAACAGTCAACGATTTTAACCAAGGATTTCAGGAATCTTTTAGGATTTCCCAAATTTGTTTCAGATGACAAAATCGTGACTGAAGTCTCACACTGGCCCCACAGTGGAAATGTGGCTAATTAGACTTAAGACGTTGTATTAAGATTTATTACTTTCTCTAATAGAGAATACTGTGAAAATGGTCATACTTTAATAATAAATGTTTTAGTAAATGCACTTAATCATAAATAAGAGGGCTATTAATAATTTTGTCTCTGTATGTGCAGTGTTTCTAAGCAGCGCTTCGTTATTTACTCACACACACAGACAGCATTGCCCTTGGCAGTGTGTTTACAGAGCAAAGTTCACTGAGGGTTTACAGCTATGATGTCAGGCAGGATTGCTGTTGTTGTCTCGTCTTTTTTATTTTCTTTCTGGTGTACCTGGAAGTGGAATATTCCTGCATATCTGCTGTCAAAGTCCTGTCCGTGCGGCACCACGCGATGCAGCAGATTATCATTCAGAGTCAGGGACGCGATAGCAGCCAGCAGCCAACAATCACCTGAGCAAAACACACACACACACACACACACACACACATATATTACACAAGATGACGTGAGGGAAAGTAGTTATTATGCAGTGTCCAGCGTTAATAGAACACTAGACATATTTGGGAATTATTTATAGATCATCAGCGGCCGTATGTATAAAACTTTTTTAAAAAATGCTTAAGAGTAGTCGTAAACTTTGACTTAAGTGTCACAAAATTCTTAGTAAGAAGTAGGACTTTTTAAAGAGTAGGAGAGATTTATAAAGAATCTAAAAGCCACTTTCAGTAAAGTTTGAGACTGATTCTTAAGTTCTGACTTAAGTGTTGCAAATTAGGGACTACAATGATTGAAACGCAAAATGGCCGCCCTTGACCTCTGAATCAGGAACCTGCAAGTAGAGGTCTGCATTTCTGTGGGACCCGACCAGTTCTGCAGCGCGGGTATAAATTTCTGAATAAATCGCGGGAGCGGTCGGTAACGGGTTTAATTTTGGACGGGAGCGGGCTGTCTAGCAATATAGCTCCCGACTCCCGAGTGAGCACGAGTATGTATGTGTGTAAATGAAATAGCGCGATGCTGTGTTTAGCCAGCCTGATCTCACGAGAAAACGTAAGTATTTTACGTTTTGGCAGTTTAGTGGCTAATTCGTACGAGTCGTAAGAAAATGTACGATTTTAAAAAGGAGGCTGGGGGATACGCAAATCGTACTAAAATGTACGAATTAGATCGTACGAATTTGTACGAATTAGCCACTAAATGAAAGTTACGAATTGCCATGAGATTGTGTTGGTTTAGCTCGTTTGTTGCTGTGTGTGTGTGTGTGTGTGTGTGTGTGTGTGTGTGTGTGTGTGTGTGTGTGTGTGTGCTTGCGCGCGCGAATGAAAGAGAGAAAGAGAGAGAGAGAGAGAGAGAAAGAGAGAGAGAGAGAGAGAGAGAGAGAGAGAGAGAGAGAGAGAGAGCTTTGCCTGTGTGTGTGCTTGGTGCTTATGTGTGTGTGTGTGTGTGAGTGTGTGTGTATTAGTGAGCGCACGCGCACGAATGAGAGAGAGCGCTTTGCCTGTGTGTGTGCTTGGTGCTTATGTGTGTGTGTGTTAGTGAGTGCACGCGCACGAATGAGAGAGAGCGCTTTGCCTGTGTGTGTGCTTGGTGCTTATGTGTGTGTGTGTTAGTGAGTGCACGCGCACGAATGAGAGAGAGCGCTTTGCCTGTGTGTGTGCTTGGTGCTGTGTGTGTGTTTATACAGACAGCTTGTTATAGGCTGTCTGGACTGTATAGCTGGGTGATTTTCGGTTTTGTTCTCCCCCCGGTCTTTAGCGGGATTGGGCGCGGCAGGTAGAAAAGGGGGCGGGTCGGGCAACGGGAAAACAAGTGCTTAATATAAGCGGGAGCGGTCGGGTTCGGGCTAAAATCTGGCGGGTGTGGACGGGAGCGGGATTCAAAATTTAGTCCCGCGCAGATCTCTACCTGCAAGGATGAAATCACAGCAGCACGACACCATTCACAGATGAATTCATACAATAAAATTATTCAATAATTTAAAATATCCTAATAAAGTGGTTACAAATACATACATACAAATAAGCACATGCATTTTGCACAAATTGATTGACTGCATGGACAAATGTGATGCTACTTAAGTCATTAAGCTGATAAGTCACATAAATGTAAATTGCACTCTTAGCTGTATATAAAAGAAAGACCAAAGTTTAAAACCCTATTGATTAAAAAAGAGAAACTTTTCTATTGACATATGCCTTCTTATTTACAGTCGGAGCAATGGTGTGATTGAGTGCCATCAATGACTCCAACAAAGGAAGGGAAGGCTCCAGGGAAGCATGCAATCCTCATAAAGCCGCTTGCTTTTGCTGTATAGTTTGGAGGTCACTTGGAAAGTCAATGATCTGCCTGTGGATTGTGATGGGCCTAAGTCATCGCTGGTGCACTGCTGCATCTTTCCAGTCGCCAAAAACGCAGAGTGATCATTACCTTCATTTCTGCAGTTAAGGCATTGTTTCGTAGAGTGTAAGAAGTTCTTGCATTTCTGTCTAGATGAGTTACAAAAAGAATACCTTCATGATCAAACGTTTTAGCAACTCCCTGTGCCCGTAAAATTGCAGCACATTCTTTTGTTCTCGAAAGGTGTGTGCTCTCCTCTCTGCTACCATCTTGTTACTTCTTAATAATGTAGGAGTTGAGACAAAGTCTTAACACTTAAGAACCTTTATAAATCACACTTAATCTTAAGTCTAGAAATAAAAGTAAAACAAAGTAGTTCGTGAAGTTATGACACACTTAAGGGTAAAAATCTACACTGAGCAGCTTTATACATACGGCCCCTGAAATCTGAATAAATAACTTTTCCTTGTATGTGTGGATGGTTAGGACAGTATTTGGCTGAAAAACAACTATTTGGAATCTGACACTATTAGTGAAGTTTTTTTTTTTTTTAAGCACAAGATGGTCCTGGCCAATCATAGCTCTTCCTGCAGGGTTTTGCATGTTCAAACATCATATCTGGTGATGATGTCATCATAAAGCATAATCTGCTCTGCCGAGCGACAGCAGCGCTTTATTTAACGCCTGCAGAGCTTTAATGAATTCTACATGAGTGTGTGTGTGTGTGTGTGTTTGTGTGTGTGTGTGTGTGTGTGTGTGTGTGTGTGTGTGTGTGTGTGTGTGTGCGCGCTTGAGAAAACGCCACAGCTGTGAACTCTGCACTCTGAAATACCACACACGCTTTGTTTACGATCCATTACAGATGATTCAGTCCGTTCACTTTATTAAAATGCTCTTATTTGAAATGCAAGGTCACAGATATTATTTTTCAAACACACATTTATTTAATGCTTCACAACCGCTTTAGAAGTTTTTTTTTAGATACTTAAGAAAATAATAATAATATAAATAAAAAATTATTAAACTTTAATATATTACACTCTGTATGAACAAAATGTATTAAAACTCTTAATGTATTAAAATGATTACGAGTGACACTAAAGGCATTTGTGGTGCATATACACATTTATTTATTTATTTATTTATTTATTTATTAATAATTTATTTTAAAAAAATTAAAGCAGTTTCAGCTTTTAGATTCCTCAAAATTGATTCCTTAACAAAAAAAAAAAAACACAAAAAAAAAACTCACTGTCTTCAGATTTTATAATACGTTTCTCTTGATCCTCTAAATCATGGTGCTAGTGTGACTTCTGCAGGATTATGTGACCCTGAAACAGGAATAATTTACTACTTGCATTAATATTCACACAGAAAACTTTATTTTAATCAAATTTAGGATACATTTTGGTTTATATTCATTCTAAATGGCCATCGAAGTGGCTCAGTGGTTAGCACTGTCGCCTTGCACCAAGAAGGTTGCTGATTCGAGCCCCAGCTGGGCCAGTTGGCATTTCTGTGTGGAGTTTGCATGTGTTGGCGTGGGTTTCCTCCTGGTGCTCCGGTTTCCTCCAAACACGTGCGGTACAGGGGAACTGATGAGATTATTGGCTGTATGTGTATGAGTGTGTATGAATGAGTGTACGGATGTTTCCCAGTACTGGATTGCAGCTGGAAGGGCATCCGCTGTATAAAACATATGCTGGATAAGCTGGTGTTTCATTCTGCTGTAGTGACCCCTGATGAATAAAGGGACTTAGCTAAAGGAAAATGAATAAATGATTGAAATTCAGCCTTACATTTGTCATTGGATATTAAATCTAAATTAATATTACATTTTAATTAATTTAGTAGAACTAAAATGTGTTTGCATGTGTGCGCACCTTGTATTACTTGCATTATAAGGACCAAATGTCCCCACAAGTGTAGCGATACCAGTAAATGTTTACCTCATGTTAGCCCATGGTTCAATACACACCTCCGTTTTTTAACACTGTTTTTGGTTCGGTTCTCATGGCTTGACACGTGTTTTTTTTAATTTTTTATTCTATAGGCAATAGGAACAGTAAGAGGTTAAGGAGAAAAAAAAAAACGATTTATTGCAATACTCATTTTGTTTAACTTAAAAGCCAAGAAAAGTACACTAGCTCCTAGTGTATTGTATGAAAAAATTAACACTGAAATCTGCCAGCTGCTGGTAGCCCATGTACACACTGGGGAACACATAAAATCCTGCACTTTGAAAATAAACATACATGTGAAGATAATAAAGATGAATTGACCATTTCAAATAAATATATTTGTACTTCAGTAAACATAAATAAACCATCTTAATTATCTCGGTGAGGAAAAAATGTGAGACTGTAGTCTGTAACGCGGATGGAGTGCTTTTATAAAATGACAAAAGCCCACATCTCCCATCACTGAAAACAGCTGCAAATCTTCAGCAATAAACACCCGCACTGCCTTTGTTATTTTACGTTTCTCTCAGAACAAGTTGAGTATGTTTGCTTAAAAGATTCAGCGAGGGATTGTTGCTATTTGGAGGACTTTAATACCTTCTCTGCTATTTTGCTATTTTTGCTGGGTGATGACGCTGCAGATGTGCAGTCATGGTTATACGTGTAAAACAATGCTTGCACACAGGTATTTTTTTGTTCACCGTTTTTTTTCTTTTTTGGCATTATACTTACCGCCAAAATCAAAATGTCCTCACTCTGCAGATTTGAAAGATGGCAACACTTTCTCGTACTGTTGCCTCACTTTGCTGGCGCTTCCTTGTACTGTTGCCATCAATGCCGCTCGCAATGTTTAAGTGTGGAATGGTTAAGCGCCCCCTAACTTTAGAGCATAGTGATTGGATATTTACACACGGGGAGGAGTTTCCTGATCTCAGCTCATGGTTTTAAAGGCATACAATCAATTTGGAGAGATATAAAGCGCACATAAATTATTTAAACACAAAACCGAGAAAACCGCAATTCACAAGCGCGTATTGAACCGTGGAGGTCATACCGTACAGTTCAATATTATATTGAGAACCGTGGCATTCCTTATATATATATATATATATATTTATATTACGTCTCTGGGAAATCCACATTAAGACAGATTGAGTGAGTGTGTGAGCAAGCGGGAAACCGTTTCCAGAATCTCTTGTTCTCTGGTCTGGAGAATGTTTGAAGTAAACTGAGGTTGTAGAGTGGTGTGTACTGTGGTAAAGGGTTGTGTGTGCTGAACTGTGGTAAAGTGTGTGTGTGTGTGGTGAATTCCTGACTCACCCAGCGCTCCCTGACAGATGTCTGTGCGAGTGGCTCCATCCACGATAAACTGAGGACGCGCACACATTTCCTGAAGAAACACAAACACAGCTACATTACATCTATACCTGAGCAATTCCAGCGCTATGGATGTGACATTTGCAGTAAAAACTCAAAACATAAATTCACAAAGAAAGTATATGTTGTTAGCATTATACTGAAACATCTCTTTCTATTTTTCAAAACAACTAGCCACAGAGCAGAAATATATCAATCTGTGAACAACTTTTAGGTTTTAAATGAGGAAAATAAAAGTGCCTTATGGATGTGACCAAAAAATTCTGTGAGTTTACAGTATAAGGTATACTTTGTAGAAATTCTGTGAATTAAACTGCACAACCCAAAAGAAACGATGTTAATCTACAGGATAAGAGTCGGCTCACTATAGGACAAACATGACTGAGTTTAGTTTATTTGACATTTTTGCATTTATGAGGGAAAAGTGTCGTTATGGATGTGACATATCTCCATTATGGATGTGACTGATGTGAAATTGCCACTTGTGTGACTTTGGAAAATCAAATATAATCGTTTGAAAACCCTGACAGAGACATTTTTGAGTATTTTTAAAGCTTTGTAAAATACAAGCCTACACAAAAAACACAGAGACGGTTTTGCTATTTTGTCGAAAACCTAATTTTTTTCATGGCAAGGATGACATATGCATGGAATTGCTCATATATCTCTATCTACAGCGTGCGTCTGTGTGTGAATTTAAGTATGCAAGTCTAATTTGACTATTCAACCTATTTAAGTCTTTTATCTGAATACTAGTATCTATATATACCAAGCGGCAACATCCTGCTCTCTCTCATGAAGCCAATACGGAAGTAACTGAAACTGCAATTCATCGACTGGCCTTTGGGGGCTGACTGCAGGAAGAACAGATGCTCACTGACTGCAATGCTAAATTGGCCAATTTTAAAGGGTCACGAAACACCAAATCACATGTTTTGAGCTGTTGACAGTCGTATATGTGTCCCACACTGCTATAAACACTATTAGGACACCTATATTTCACTAAAAAGTGTAAATTGGTTGTTTTTGCGTTATTTCAAGCAAATTCGTACTTCCGGTTTGAAACGCATTTTTGAAGCTGCGTCACGGTCATGACATAATAGCGTGTATTCCAGCGTGCAGACTGGACGACTGTGCCAGAGTGTGTCTTATTACGTCTTACAGTGTGATGCATTAATGCATGAGTAAGGCTTGGTTCAAACCAATCAGCGCGCTCTATTGTGCAACTTCATTAATATTCATTACTGTCACAGTGTTTAGACGACAGAGACGCCACATTGTGTTGGCAAAACAAGCGTGAAGTGTTGCTTTTATAGTTTGCTGCAGTTAAGTTTTGTTTTTATTTTCTCTCTGTGAGAGCGCAGCTGGAGTCACGTGTGGATTAACAGTGTACGCGACGCTCGACAACAATAATTTACGTGTCTAAGGAGGATTATTGTTTACCTGAGAGCTGTTCTCATCTGCAAACGCTGAGATCCGGATTCGCTTGTAGTCTCCTCTTAATAAAGACGCGGCTCTAGTTGCTGGTGATTGTCCTGTCTCTACAGATTTGGTAAGTGAGCGACCAGTGCTCTTTGTTTATTCAGTTCGTATTTTATTCGCATCAAACAAACTATTGCACCGAGTGTAAACAAGTTAGCACTACAACCAAACTATAACCTCGTGTTGGATTTTGTGACCAGAATAACACACGCGGCTTTCTGACGCTACCTGCCGTGTGCATCTAAGTTTCCGGGAAATGCTGAGTTTTTTTTCTCTCATTCGCCGTGCGGTATCAAATATTGCATGAAAAATACACGCTTAGAGCAGCGCCTTGAATCAAATATCTTGTTTGTCACGAGGGGCATGACTGAATTTCCTGAATGAAAGAGCCAAACTGCAGTTAAAGTCCACCATTTAATAATTTGGCAAATAATTCGACTACAGATGTCCATGTAAACACCGTCACTTTGTCCCCTGTGTGTGTGTGTGTGTGTGTGTGTGTGTGTGTGTGTGTGTGTGTGTGTTTTGACTCTGAAAGTCAGCGCGCCCAAATAGACACTCCCATACCAAGCCTCTTTTCTTCCTCCGACACTGCCCCCTAAACAGAGCTGGACACGCCCACTTTTCTGACTTTTTCCAAAGTAGAGGTGTGAAAACACCCTGCTGAAACGAAGGGGTTTCATGGCCCTTTAAAGCTGATAAAAACATGTTTACAGCCTGCTACAAAAGATGGTTTTGGTGTATAAAGCTAATATTACCCTTCATGAGTACTGTGTGGGCGTGAATTTTTTTTTATATAACTCAACCGTTTCGTTTATATTAAGTTATATTAAGTCTGCATAATTAAGGGCGTGGCCACTTGAGTGACAGCTAGGTCTCGCTGCTCGCTGTCTCGTCACCTCAGCTGATTCCGGCTGATTAGCTGCTGAACTCAGCATATTCATCGGGTTTTTGTGTTGTTTTATGTGGCTTTACACAGTCAGATGCTGTTTGGGATTATTTCCTACAATTATCAGATGATATGGCATGCTGTGTGCACTTAATTGTGCTCACAAACCATTCACAAGGCCTCCATTTCATAGGTGATCGAAAGTATATACCATCTCTATACATGTATTTGTTTTATTTAAGATCATTTATTATGGTTTATATTTATATTTAGAGCTGTAGTGCACTCCAGAATCTGTCAGATTGATTAGCTGTGGGCTCTAGAACAGTCATCTGAAGCGTTGTCATACAGTGTTATGCTGGATTTCATCAATGGTCTTGCATTTACTAACACAGACTATAGCTGAAGTATTTGGATGTAATTAGCATTTTCCTCCAGTAGAAAAATGTCATAAGAACAATGTTTAGTGGCTCAATGTATTACAGCAGTGTTTTTAATAGTGTAAACACTTTATTGATATGGTGTACAGCCAAGC